AAAAAAAAAAAAATAGGCAGAGGGCCCTGGGGATCAGGCCTGCACCTGGAAAGCTCTCTGTGTCACAGATGCCCACTAGCCAGCCTCGCCGTCCCCTGACAAATGACCTCCGCAAACTTCCCCAGATATAGCGGGGGAGGTAGCCAGACGCTTGGATAGCTGGACACTTGGCCCTGTGTGCCAAGCACCGTGTGAGCACTTGTCCCTGAGTCATTCCTATTCCAACCAGATGCTGATCCCCCAGCCGTGGAAACAGACACCCGAGACTGGCTGGGGCCACTCGTGCTGGACGTGTGCCCACGGACTCCCCGGGACAGCTCTGCCGGTGAATTTTATTTTCGTTCTCATTTTACAGACAAGCAATGGGCCCAGAGCCGAGAAGGGACTTGCCTTGGGTGACAGAGCCCTGCACGAGGCCTAACTGCAAACCCATTGTCTAGCGCGCTGTCTGTGCTGGTGGAGGGAGGCCGGGTGGCCTCACTTTCCCCAGCCTCCTCCCCACGTCCAGAGGTCTCTGGATATGGAGTTGAGGCCCCAGGGAGGCCCCGGTCTGGCCCGACTCCAGCCTGGAGAGCCAGGACTGCCCCTGAAGAGGTCTCCAAGGCTGACGTGGCCGAGCCGACTTTGGCCTTGCCCTGCCCTCCCCAGAGGAGGCTCCGGGCCTGTCAATGGCAACCCAGCTGCCCTAGGTTCCCGTGAGGCCTGGTGCCTCCATTTCCTCAGCACAGCTGGGCCCTGCATGTAGCATGTTTTGCAGGCCGCACTGGCAGAGGGCCACCCGGGGTGGAGGGCATTTGTGGGTACCCTCCCAGTGAACTTTCTAAGAAAGCCCCCGCCCTTCTCTTTCTCCCTTCCAGGCGAGGGGCGTGATGGCAACACCAGTCGTGGGTGCTTCCTCTTTGTCCGGGGCCCGGGGCCCTGGGCCCTGCAGGGCCACCCAGCGACCTGTCTCTCTCAGCCACACTTCCTCGAGGCCGGGTCTCTGCCCCCCGCACCTGCAGCAGCCGGCTGCTGCTTTAGAAGGTTTATCTACCCGAGGGGCTTTGAGGGCGGGAGTGGGGGGGGGG